CACAGGTTCCCCCAGACTGATTTGGGACACAGGTAGGATCCCACTGTGACACTGAGGCATCCTCTTGAGTTTGGGGATCCTGCCCACATCAGACACCTGAAAATTGGTATTTTGGAATTGGGTATTTTAGAATTTATTGGTTACTTTGATATTTTTGAAGCTTGATGTTCTGGTATTTTGAGGCAGAATTGTTTTAGTATTTTGGAACTTGGTATTCTAATATTTTGCGGTTACTTTGATATTTTTGAAGCTTGATGTTCTGATATTTTGTTTTAGCATTTTGGAACTTGGTATTCTAATATTTTGAAACTGGGTTGCTTTGGTGTTATGGAACTTAGTATTTGAATATTTTAAATATGTGTTACTTTGGTATTTGAAAACTTGGCATTGTGGTACTTTAAAACAGAGATTTTGAAACCTGGTTTTCTAATATTTTGGTGGAAGAGCTACCGGCATTTAGATTGTCAATGAAAAAAGGAAGTTTAAGACTTAGCTGCGAAGTCCAGTGCATAGAGAACTGAAAAGGCCAGCTGCAGGCATAGATAAGAGAGAAATAAAGATAAGAAAACATTTGGGAGGAAGGCAAAAGTTGCCTGGCTCCTGTTTTCATAGGACAATCCTCAGGTGATATTAGAATAAAACTACCAAAAATCCAAGAAATGGATGGTTTTAATATGGGTAAACTATTTGAAGTTGCATGGGCAGTGTATCAAAATGTGCAAATCCAAAAAAAAAAAAAAAAAGAAAAGAAACAACAGAAAAAAAAAAACTAAACAGAAAATCATAACAATTATAAAAGAAAACAGCAAAAATTTCTTATCCCCAGGGAGGAGTCTTGTAACAAGGGAAGGGCTTCAGATCCTCCATCTTCATTAGGAAGATTGGGAATTAATCAATACACAAATTACAAAATAAATATAAATACTGGATTCAGAGTATCCTCAGGTAAAACCCAGGACTCCTCCAAAGCCTCTCATGGCAACAGCAGAGCCTCTGGTAACAACCACACCAAGAAATAAAAACCTGCAATTTTTAGAAGGCACAGGAACCAATTATTCAGTATTAAATACCAATTATTCAGTGTTGAATGCAAGGGAAGTTTAGGGATGCCTCCATCACAGTTGTTGGTGCCACTGGAACTTGTGAACTGTGCCCCTTTTTCAAACCACTGAAGTTCAAACTAGGAAAATTATAAATAACCCATCAATTTTTGTACCTGTCTAACTCTTCAAAACTGTTATTAAGGAAAAAAAAAAACCAAACCTTATTGGGAAAATTGAGTGCAAAAATCAAGTTTCAGGAAGGAGACATTCAAATTAAAATCCCTGTGTCTAAATACACGTAATCTTCAGTTTTTTTATGACACTTGCTTCCCAATCTGAACCTATCACAAAGAGAATTAAGAATGCAGTAATCCCCTTTGTGTGGGCCAGGGAGATTCCTGGAAAATCAAAAAGACCAGTATCTGTGAGAACCAAATTAAATCAGACGCAGGCCTGGTGAGACAAAACCAATATCCTTTAAAATGAAAACATTGAAAAGGCTCATGACCTAAGATTAAGAACATTTTATGGTACAGGTTGTTGGTCAAATCCATTTTTACCAGACAAAAATGTTAAAAGTAAAGATTATCAGCTAGTACAAGACTCAGGAGCAATTAATAAAACTGCTAACTAACCCAAAAATTGCTAAGTTACCCAAAACACTTATAATCACACTTAAAAAAAAAGTAAACAAATAAATAAATTTGTATAAATTTGGAATGGCTCACTGTAATAGATTTAAAGGAATTTTGGATTATTTGTCCACCCTTTGTATGGACTCTTAAATATTTTATATAGTAATAGCCATCTATAGTTTATAGCCATGAATACTTTTAGATACATAAATAATTTTAAATACAGAAATACTTTATTATATGGCCTGATGATACTCAGGCTGCTTTCAAATTACTTAAAAAGCCCTGATGAGATCTCCAGCTTTGGTCTTCCTGTATCCTGGGAAATCTTTTGAATTTTTCCCTTATGCCAAGGCTGGCCCAGCTGTTTGTGAGCAGTCACTGCAGGGCCAGATATTAAACCAGAATATAGCACAAAAATTCAGTTAATTATATTCTAAATTATTCTAAATTATATTCTAAATTTCACCCTGGTGGACGGGCGCTCACCCCTGCTGGACAAGGAATACTTTCTGAGGGAATAAAGCAGGGACAGAGGCTATCAAATGTGGAAACTCTCAGATTCTCAGGAATTCTCTCAGAAATCTCAGGAGATTATTGGCAAATTGACTTTGCAGAACTTCCATGCAAACAGAGCTGCAAATTTCTTTTAGTGGATCCCTGCACTGGGTGGCCTGAAGCATTTCCCTGTTGCACCAACGTGGCAAAAGAAGCAGTGGAAATATTTCTAAATCAAATATTTCCATGCTTTGGAGCTCCTCTAGGAACGCCATCCGACAGAGGGTCTCGTTTTATAGCAGGAATTGTGGGACAAGTTAGCAAGGCCTTGGGACTCCAATGGGATTTACACACCCCATGCTGGTCACAAGCCAGTGGAAAGGCAGAAATAATGAATTGCACTGTTAAAGTTAAATTATTACCCACAGCCAGAAGAAAATTGAGGAAAAAGAATAAATAATCTTGCAACTGAAGTGTTGCTCATATCTGTAAGTGGTATCTCAATAATTCACCAAAATCTTTGTTTGCCAAAAACACCTTTGGAGTTTCACAGAGGGATGAGGCATGAAAATTCCTATGGAAATTTCAAGTAGACAAAACATTAAATGTAACTCATTTCTGGATGTGTTCTCAAGGAATGTTGAGGCTCCACAGAACCACACGGCCTTAAGGAAAAAATTGCTATTATAGGGCAAGAAGGTTGCACTTCCATCAGGGGTGAGCTTGAAGCCCAGCAGACAAAAATGGAGAGAAAAAGCAATAGAAGAGTGGCAGAAAGAAGAAAACTCTTTGATGAGGTTGGCTTCACTCATGGCTGCCAGGCTGGGGGCTGCTACAGAATGCATTTGTGGCAGTCATTTGCAACCACTGCAGAGTGTTCTCTTGCTTGTGTTTGCTTGCTGCAACACTTTGTGCTGAAAAATGAAGTGTTGTGACTTGCCTAAAAGAGACAGTCTCAAGAAAAAGGAAGGATTTGATAAATAACAAAGAGAATAAAAAATTTCAGCTCCCCTTAAGCTGCTGGGAGAGAGCAGAGTCTTTTTTTTTTTTTTTTAGTGTTCATTTCAGGTGAGAAGAGGCTGCAGCTCCCACATGGTTTGGTGCCAGGATTCCATGCAAGCCACAGCTGCAGAGACCCACGAAGTGCCAGTCAGCTTAAGAAAAGTCTCTAGGATATGAAACAGGCAATTTTTGGCAATGCCCTTCACAATATATTTTGCAGTTGGAACAACAAGAGATGGGAAATAGCGTTGAGATAACTGAAAACTATGATTTCTGACTGAGAGCACAGAGAAAAATCAAATATTTCATCATGCAAAAGGGCTTTCTATAAAACCAGAAATATTTGTTTTGATGCAAAATGGGGATGGGAGGGGAGCTCAGCATCTCAGGAGTGAGGAGACAATACCAGGGTGATTTAATTCCCTGACAGAGAAACTTCAGTGCTCCAAGGAACTTCCCTGACTGTATCAGTATGAAATGGTTTTAGTGTTCAGAAACAATTTCAGTGTTCAGAAACATCCCTGTTCATCTGAAAGCAAGGATTGAATGGATGGTTTTTGAAGTAAAATGGCCTTGGCAAGAGGAAGCAGCTTGTGTTCTCTGTCACCCCTTTCCCTTGGAGTTCTCTCAGTGAATTTTAGGTTGGACACTGGGGCTGGAGCAGCCTGGCACAGTGGAAGGTGTCCCTGCCATGGCAGGGGTGGCACTGGGTGGGCTTTGAGGTCCTTTCCAACCCAAACCATTCCATGGTTCCGTGGTTCTTCCTATCAAGGCCACTGCCCAGCCCTTGATCCCTGCACAGGGATCTGCTGGGAGAGGATTCATGGACAGGTGTGCCACCTGCAAAACTCCTAAAATGCAATGTTTGCAATTTGCATGCATTTGCCAGCATTTGCATCGCCCAGCTGCGTGTGTTTGTGTGTTTTTGTGTGTGTACAAGCTGTGCTCCTTCACACATGGCCTGAAAGGGGAAGGCAATCTGGTTCTGGAAAGAAAAAAATGGTAAAGGTGGGAGGCTGCTCACCCAGCTCTCCAAAACAAGGAGATTTTAAAAGTTTTTTTTAAGGTCTGTTACCAATGCTGGAGACAAATGTAAGTAATGGTCATGTTACATTGGTCTGGTTCTACTGAAATCTTGTAAAATGGTTGTTGTGTGTTATGGCACCTTTCACTTCGATATTTGTGGAAAGGTTTTGATGGGTTTTAACAGAATATTGCTCTCCATTGTTTCCTTATTTCAGTGTTTGGTCTGTACATGTTCTGGATTTCCTGTAACAGAGAACTATCAGACTCTCAAACAGTCTTCTGTGAGCAGGTGACAGGAAAAAACCTTTGTACATCTCCATTATCAACCTCAGAACGCCTTCCTGTCCTGCAAACACAATTCAGGTCATTCATGTGCTTCCTCCCAGGCCACTGAAGAATGTGAGAACAGATGCAGAGCAGATTTTTGGTTAATCTTTTGTATATACTGAAAATATAACTACATAGGTATAATCTCACACATTTTTACATATATATTTAGCTAAAGCAGTTGTAAAGTTAATTACAAGATTACTGTGAGATATAAATAAAAGAAAAAATCAGATCTGAGGAATACTATATTTAAGGATAAAGTGAATTAAAATATAAGTGCCAGAAAAAATGTGAACTTTTGAAATATTGTCAAAATTCATTAGTGAATCATTGCAAAAATGCACTTCACTATGGGAGCAATTCCAGCAAACCAAGACTCCAGTTCTCCTTTTTCATGCTTTTGAGAATCCCCTCTGAAGTCAATGGGACCATTCTTGGGGGTAAAATGAGCAGCATTTTGTTCCAGGGACACCTGGCTGGACTTTCAAATGAGCTTCAATCCTGCAATGCAAAACCTTTGATTGCCTGGAAAGTGGAATTTGAGCAAAAGGAAGGCACTAAGGTGATTTGGGGGAGTCTGCACAGAACATTCCTGGTCAGAAGATCTAATTTCCATGAAATCTGCAGCTCTGGGCATGCTTAACTTGGTTTGCTGTGTTTTCAGCTGGGGGGCCAGATACAATTCCTGGTTAAGAAGGGGGAAGGTGGAAGGGTTGCCCTTCCCCTGGTAAAAATTGGCCCATGCTAGTGCTCTAAAATAGCACTAGGAGAGCCTGTGGTTACTGGAATGACCAACCCAAACTTAAATTCCTCTCACCAGGTTAATTTATGGAAATGTGTAATATTTTTGGCACTATAAAGATTCGGGTTTGCTTTGATAATTTTTCTCTCACTCAAAATTTCTATTAGATTTATAACCAGATGTCCAGGTCATTAATCTCTTATGAGGTTAAATGAGTGAGCATTGTTGTTGTTTGGATCTTTCTCACTTAAAAAGGGAAGGGGAATAGGAGAAGCCCCTTCTCACCTCAGCATGTCCTGGTGAGTCACTCAAACTCTGCACAAGCTGAAACATCCAAATAATGTGACCCACTGCTGTTTTGGTTCTTTTCTTTTTTTCAGAGCAGCTGTCCCAACTTCAAAAATGTGACTCATGGCCCCTCCAGCAAAAGGATCAGGAGCAGTTTCTGGCTTGGTGCAAGAGCCCCACAGGAGACAAAGGTGATGAAGATGAGGGGAACCTGGCTGAGTGTGCCCCTGGGACACCTGCTGGCTCTGGGACACAGGCACAAATGGAGAAACATGGTATTTAAACAAAAAAAAAAAAAAAAAACAAAAAAACAACAAAAAACCAAACCAAACCAAAACAAAAAAAAACCAACCAAAAAAAAAAAACCAAACCAAAACAAAACAAACAAAAAAAAAACCAAAAAAAAACCACCAAAAAAAACCCCAAAACAAACAAAACCAAACAAACCAAAATATTCTCTGCCCTCTGAGAGGGATACAGAAATCTGCTCCTTCTCTGCCCCTGGTGGGTCTAAACTTGGTTTGTAGGGTGCTGAAAATGGGGTAGGAGTTTGAAGGATCAGCCTGGGTAAGCTGGTGTCAGTGGACAGGCTTGTGTGGGTTTCTGAGGACACACTGGCCTGCAGGGCAGATTCAAGTTAAGCCCAAGTGTGAATCTGCCAGCAGAACATCTCCTGGGGGTGACAGGAGGAGGAATTCAGGTGGCTGAGTGCCCTCAAACAGGCACCTTCCTTCTAGAGCTGACCTGGCTTTAAATCCCTGTGCAGGGACTTGGCAGAGGAATGCTGAGAGGAGCCAGAGATGATTTTTATGGATGTGCTGCTCCTTCTTGTTCCTTTCAGATGGATTCCAGAAAGTTCAGGCTGTTTGTCTGCCTGGTGGGGCTCAGCAGTGCCAGCCTCTGGGTTTTCCACACCTGGACCGAGCTCTGCGTGTTCTGTGAGAGCAGCCAGGGGTACCTGTTCCCCACGGAGACTTTCAGGAGGATGGAAGGGAACTTCTCCCAGCTCCCAGATGTCGACTGCCACAAGAACCCTCCCTTCCTCGTCCTGCTGGTGGCGTGCTCATTCCAGGAGCTGGATGCCAGGATGGCCATCCGGCACAGCTGGGGCAAGGAGAGGACAGTGGCTGGGAAGCGCCTGGTGACCTTGTTCCTGCTGGGGAGCCCTGGGGATCCCAGCCAGCAGGCTGACATCGCTGCTGAGAGCCAGAGGCACAGAGACATCATCCAGAAGAACTTCACAGACACCTATTACAACCTGACCCTGAAGACCATGATGGGGATGGAGTGGATCCACAGGTTCTGCTCCCAGTCCAGCTTCGCCATGAAAACCGACACGGACGTGTTTGTCAACGTTTTTTACCTCACTGAGCTGCTCCTGAGGAAAAAGAAGAGCACTGGGCTCTTCACAGGCTTTTTAAAACTGCACGAGTACCCCATCAGGACAAGAGGGAGTAAGTGGTATGTGAGTAGGGAAGAGTATCCAGGAAGCACCTACCCACCCTTTTGTTCCGGGACTGGATATGTTTTATCCAGCGACGTAGCCAGCCAGATCTATAACATTTCTGAGAGTGTTCCATTCATTAAACTGGAGGATGTGTTCATAGGGCTGTGCCTCGACAAATTAAAAATTCAGCTGGAGGAGCTTCACTCGGAGCAGACGTTTTTCCCAGAAAGGATCAGGTTCTCTGTTCCTCGTTTCAGGAAAATCGTGACGTGCCATGGAGTAAAACCTTCTGAGCAGCTGAGCTACTGGAACCTCTTAGTGGCAGCAGCTCAGGGAGGAGTGCTCTAGCACCTACCCTGCTCCACTCAACAGACTGAAATTCTCTGCTTTTACAGGGCTGCTCCCCACTCCAGCAAACTCCCAATTAACTCCAGCTCCATCACGTTAAAGGCTTTAGAAATGGTTGTTTTAATCACAGAATCAGAAGATTGTTAAGGTTGAAAAAGATCTCCAAGATCATGTAGTCAAACCTTTGACTAAACACCACCTGGTGAACTAAACCAGAGCACTGAGTGCCATGTCCAGTCATTCCTTGAACACCTCCCTGGGCAGCCCCTTTTTAGTGCTTATCCACTAAAAATTCCCTATTTCTGCCCAAGAACATGCAAACCTCCTTCTCTCCCATTCATTCCCATCTCTGTGCATCCCTTCTCTACACAAGTTAATTTTTTTTTCCTGAAATATTCAGGCCTGCTAACCCACCCTCCAAATCTTGCTGCCAGAGGCCTGGGAACATTTCTGCTGTGCCAAACAAAAAAAGTCAAAGCACTTTTGTTCAGGGAATAAAATCTGCACCATCTTCCTGGTCGCCCTTGATAAATTACTGCACCCATCTGTGCAGGCAGTTAAGGGATGATATTTGTAGCTGTCAGGATGCTTCCTTCTGGCATAGGAAGCTGCAGCCCTGCCCTTGCAACCAGCTCTGAGTGGGCTGAGCTGCATCCTGGCACAGATCCCTCCTTCAGTATACACCAATTTTTTTTTTTTAATTTTTTTTTTTTTTTTATTTTTTTTTTTCAGAGAGGGTAGAATTTGCCCATGCAATTCTCTCAGGACAAGCTTGGGCACTGCAGGTCACCTGGTGGAGGTGTAAAAGCTGCTGCAGCTGTTTTCTTGTGTGTGCTTCCTGCTGAAAATAACCCGTGGTGGAGCCAGTGCAGGTGTCCTGCTCTTCCTATTAAAAGAGACCTGGAGACATCTTTTATATTTGTGTCTCCCTTTGATTGCCTGAGAGCTACTGTGAATGGTTTGCCAAGGCTAAACTAGAGTCACTTAGAGTCTTTTTTCCAAAGAGCAACTGGGTGTGTGAGGGAGAAGACAGGAGGATTTTTATCTTTTTTTTTTTTTTTTTAACAAGTCCTAGTTGAAAATGTGCTCAAGTAATCATTCAGGCTGGGAGCCCTATTTCTTATTTCATTCCCAAGCAAAGACTCATGGAATCTCTGGGGTCATTACAAGTTTCAGAGATAAGGAGAGGGGTCTTTACAGCAGATGCTGAAAAATCCTTCAGGGCTCTGAGGGGAGAGAAAGGAGCTCAGAAATCCTCCCTTATGCAATGGTCCTGTTTGATTTTCCTGCAGGCACAGGCAAGGCCTGTGTTATCAGCATGGAATGCCTGTAATGTCTGTGGGAAGGGCTTTTTCCAAAAAGCAGTGAAAGTGGAGCTGTTCCCAAGGGGAGCTGAGGGGATCCAACATCCAGCATGGAAAAAGCATGGAAGAGAGACAGGAAAACAGATTTTATTGTTTTGGAGTTCTTTATTTTTATTGCTTTTCTTTTCATTGAAAAGAAGGATCCTTCCTTCCTTCCTTCCTTCCTTCCTTCCTTCCTTCCTTCCTTCCCCCAATATCTCTTTTTACTTGCCTGTGTCTGAAGAGCAGGGTAAATATTTTCAGCAGGAAAATCCTGAGCAGTGTTTAATAATGGTCATAATATTGATTTTCCCCTGGTGTAACCCAAGATCATGCACTTATTTTTGATCAGTGATGATGAAAGAAACAATGTTTATTTGTCAGAAGAATGATCTTTTTCATTTTAAGCTTATTTAATAAACTTCTAATATTTTATTTAAGTAATTAAAATATTTAAATAGCTGAATTTTGCTTAAAATTCAGCTATTTTTTAATACTTTTGCTGCCTTCAGAAGGTGTGATGGGTGAGACTGACAAAGCCAAGCCAACATCTTTTTAATCCCTATTCTTTGCATGTAATATGCAGAAATATCTTGTGTCATTCATTGCTGTTGTACTCAAGGTGCAAGCTGGTTACTCCTTTAATTTATGGAAAAATGGTGAGCAGAAAGGAATGTGTCCTGGTCATTGCTAGCTCCTTGTCTGGAGGGGCAGAGCTCTGAGAGCTGGGACAGCATCATCAGCCTGATGTTCTCTTCTTGTTCCCAGAGATAATAACATTAAAAATAATGATATAATAATGAAATAATCCTGCAGGCAATTGCAGGTCTCACTTCCACCTCTGTGCCTGCTGCCAGCAGTTTGTGGCTTTGCATCAGCATTAAAAAAGTCACCCTTGAGGGTTCCCAAGTCCTGCTCAACCTCTTGGCTGGGGCTTTTGAGTCCAGGAGTGTTCCAAATGCCTTGAATCCAGCTGCTGACTGTTCTTCTGCAGACTGCACCTCTGTGTTTTTGGGGTTAAATTCCAGTGGAAGATGTCCCTGCCCGTGGCAAGGGGGTGGGAATGGATGTTCTCCAACCCAACCCCAGCCATTCTGTGGCTCCATGAAACCCATCTCTGATGGATTGGGAACAGGGACCTGACACAAGGTCCTGAAACCATCCTGCCCCCGTTTCCAGGGAGGTGGAATTGCCATTTCAAGTGACCTGTGCAAGACGTCTCTTGCTGCCTTCAGGATGTTTTGTCCCCACACCAGTCTCCAATGGCCTGACTGTCCATGAGCATTTGGTTTGTCACTGCTGGAGCTCTGCTGGGGAGCAGATGAGTTCGGGTTGAAATGTCAGGGATTCAGCTTTTCAGGGATTTTTGTGCTCCTTTTTGCAGAGTGGTTTCCCAAGTGAATGCTTTCAGCTGCTGCACAGAATTTCCCTCAACATAACGATTTTCTTTGTGTGAATGAGAAACTGATCTCGTAATTCACAGGATCATAGAATTGTTTAGGTTGGAAGAGAACTGCAAGTTCCCTGAGTCCAACCATTAACCCCAAATTTGTCCCTAAGCACCACATCTGCACATTTTTTAAACACTTTCAGGGACAGTGACTCCACCACTTTCTTGGGCTGCCTGTTCCTGTGCTTTACCACCCTTTTTATGAAGAAACTTTTCATAAATGCAATCCAGACCTCCCCTGGTGCAACTTGAAGCCATTTCTTCTTGTCCTGTTGCTTTTCACCTGGGAGACGAGACCAAGCCCCATCGCACCACACCCTCCTGCCAGGGAGTTATGGAGTGCAATGAAATCCCCCCTGAGCCTCCTTTTCTCCAGACTAAACCCTTCCTCTGCTCCCTAGGCTGCTTTGAATAAGAATATATTAATTGAATAATTAATTACTTAAAACATAAAGTTACCCTGCTGGAAAATGTGATTTAAGAAAAAGCAGATGATTGCATGTAAGGCAAATCCATTTGTTTAAACAAAACCAGTGTGCTAGTGAGTTTATATGTATCAGCTAAATTAAATTAGCTTTTGCAGCTGAGGCCTCAGATCATGAATTTTAAAACAATCAAAATAGTATTAGTGGCCTTTTGCAAAATTAGATTCATTTTCCTATGAAAGACCATCATAAAACAATCAGAAATGCAAGTAGAACTGTAAACACAAAACTGCAGTGTACATTTACTTATTTTTAAATTTTTTTATAGGCTGATAAAAGAATTCAGGCAATTTGGGGGCAGTTTGTCTGCAGAAGCTGAGCACTACCCCAATGTTTTTATGCATTCTGGGTTAGAAGTTCATTAAATTTTTTTTTTTTAATGAATAGCTTTGAAAAGGTCATCTAAAAGTTACTAAAAAAGGAGAAGTAGAGAAATCAGCAGAGCTGGCAGTGTCTTAGAGTTGGTTCATTTCAGCACACTCTATTTCTTCCAAGATCAGGTTTTGGATGCATAAAAATTAATACTTTTTTTTCCCACAACCCTAATTCATCAACACATTCTCAGTGTAAATTAGGATTTTCAAATCTGTGCATGAAGGATTTGGTCTCACAGCTCCTCTGACTCAGACTTATTGAGGAGGCACAACCCTCCCAGGCACTTCTGAAAATACAGAAGTGGATTTTTGCAATGGAAGTTTTGCCTTATTTCAGAGTGGAAGGGGACAAAAGGGCTCCTGGTGTGTGCTGGATGTGACAGGAATGCTGCTCCTCACGGATGTGTGCAGGTGACAATGCAATGCTCATTTCAAAGGCGTGACAATGTTTGTATTATTTGCATAGAACATGAGCCAACACTTCCATGTTTGATATTTTATTAGTAAAGAATTTTGCTACCACAGTTTTGTGTGTTCTCCTGTCTTTTTGGTTGTGAATGTATCAACATTTTGGTGTTTAGTTGAGTCAGGGGGCTGCTTCCTTTTCCAGTTAAAATCAGTAGAATCATAGAATCATTTAGGTTGGAAATTACATTGAAGGTCATCAAGTCCAACCTTTAACCCAGCACTGCGGAGTCCAGCGCTGACCCCTGTCCCCAAGTGCCACATCTGCACAGCTTTCAAATTCCCCAGGGATGGGCACTCCAGCTCTGCCCTGGGCAGCTGTGCCAGGGTTTGGGCACCTTTCTGGGAGAAATTTTCCCTGATATCCAAACTAAACCTGTCCTGGCCCAGCCTGAGGCCAGACCCAGCACTTGGTCTTTTAAAATCTGAATTTGAAAACTGTTGATTTTTTTCCCTTTCTCCAAAATGACTTAGGAAATAGTGAGGGAATTGAAAGAAAAAGACAAGTTTAACCACAGCTGATACCTTTGGGAAGAACAAGAGCCAAACTGAAGTGATTTCTGCCCCAGTGTGTGCCTGAGGATGGCTGCCAGGGTCCTTCTGGGACCTGGAAGTACAGGGCTATTCTCTTATCACTTCAAAGAGAAATGTGAAGTAACTGAAGACTGTCAGATTGATTTTCAAACACAAGCAGTTATGAACAAAAACCATAAAGAGAAAAGTCCTCCCTTACTGCCTTTATCTTTTATCTTGCTTACATTTCTGAAGTATTTTGCTTGAGGCTTTTTTTAACTGGACTTCATTTCATTAGTTCATGACAGCAATATATTCCAGGAATATCTACAAATATTGTCACAGGACTTAGACATATAGAGCACATAGGAGATCTAGCCTGAAAAAGCAGAATTGAATTTGCACATGCTCTGGCTGAGCAAACAGAGACTTTTTTCAAAGCTTTGTAATACATTGGATTTCAGGCCATCCTGCTAAAGAGTTCACTTAAGTACATTTTCACTGAAAAATGTAATTGGATTATTTTAATGGTTGAGAAATAATGTTTTACATATTCAAAATTGCATTATTTTTGCAGGAAAAAAAAATAAATCCACGTCCCTTCTTAAAATCTGCCAAAGTGAACCATGTACACAGCATTCCTTGCATTCACCTACTGACCTAACCCGACCTCATTTAATTTATGACTTTGGGTGCAGGGACAGAGGCCTGCAATCATCTTCCTGCTCCTCAGGAATCCCAGCTCCATTTCCAATGACACAATTCCTCTCCCCAAACTCCCGTGTACAGCCAGAGGCGGGGAATTGCCATAAATTAGTGATGTGCTGTGACTTGGACCTCCAGCTGTAATCCCTTCGTGTTTAATTTAATTATTCCTGCTGAAACAGCAGTTGTAAGTAAATGTTTGACTCGGGTACACAAAGGGACCTGCAGCTTTTACACGAGCTGCTGCTCGTCAAGGTCCAGTGGGGGAATGAGAGAGCAGGGAGAGCTGAGCTGGGAGCAAGGGCAGGACGTGGAGGGGGAGTGATGCTGCTGGGTGCATCACTGAGGAGGGTGGAACAGCTCAGGGTGAGGGGCTGTGAGGCACTGCCTTGGTTTGGAAAGGCAGGTGCCTGCTAAGGAAGGCAGGAGCCTCTCCTGAAATGGAAAGTCTAAACCCCCTCACTCCACACTGTTATAAAATTGAAATTAAGGCGCTCTTAGGAAAAAATATGGGAGCAGGAATAACAGTTCTGTATTAGGGAAGGAAAAAAAAAATAAAATAAACAATGCAGTAAACCAAAACAACACTGACAACCAGAACACAACCTGGCACCCTGTTGGTCAGGGTGTTGGTAGCAGTCCAATTGGAATTGTGGTTGCAATCCTCCTGGAGTGTCAGGTCTTGTATTTGTGAGGTGCCCCATGGCAGGAAGGAAGGAATGATGCATCTGACTCCATGTTCTCAGAAGGCTAATTTATTATTTTATGATACTATATTATATTAAAGAAGGCTATACTAAACTCTACTAAAGGATACAGAAAGCTAAAAAGATAATAATGAAAAATCTTGACTCCTTCTAGAGCCCTGATATAGCTTGACCCTGATTGGTCATTAAGTCAAAACAATTCACATGAAAACAATGAAACAATCACCTGTTGGTAAACAATCTCCAACCACATTCCAAAGCAGCAACACACAGGAGAAGCAAATGAGATGAAATTGTTTTCCTTTTTCTCTGAGGCTTCTCAGCTTCCCAGGAGAAGAATCCTGGGCAAAGGGATTTTTCCAGAAAATATGACTGCCACAGTCAGGTGTGGTTCTGCTGGAGCAGGGATATCCTGTAGAAGGGTGTTGTCTTCTTCAGAAGATCCAGTGGAAGAAGAGACAGCTGCCCCTCTAGGAAATCCAGTGGAGAAGCTGTGCTGGTGTTCCAAATCTCAAGATTCTATCCAGGTAGGAATGCTTGGCTCCTCCCTCTGGGTGGAGCATGTCCCAATGGATGCTGTAGTTCTTATCAGCCATGCAGGGACATCCCATAGCCTGTTATCAGCAGATGTCCCCAGAGGGAGGAGTGGTTGTGGCAGAGATAAGGAAAACTTCCCACTGAACAGAAGACAACTGCCCTACAGATGGCAAACAGAATGCAATCTGCTTGGCAATCCAGGGCAGGCACCTCAGCTCATTTTGGGGATGTCAGCTCCTCATCCTGAGGCCAAACCCTGTGGGTGGGACTCTGGCAGGTTTCCTGAGCCACACCACCTTCCAGGGGAGATGGAACAGGAAAGGACTGGAAGGTTTATCCTTTAAAATGTCAGCCTTTACTCTATTTTTGAGATCTTGCAGTACTCACTAGCTCCCTCAGGTTTTAGGGGATCTCATTTTGTCTACAAGTGTTTCAAAGGAAATGCCCATACAGAATCATGAAATCTGAGTGGTTGGGTTGAAAGGACCCTTTAAAGGTCATCCAGTCCCATCCCCTCTGCTGTGGGCAGTGACATTTTCAACTCTGTCAGTGTTCTGTCCAGCCTGGCCTTGAAGTTTTCCAAGGATTGGGAATCCACCACCTCTCTGGACAACCTGTTGTGGTTTTCCTCATGCTCATTGTAAAAAAAAATTCTCTCTCATATCTAGTTTAAATTGACCCTCCTTCAGTTTAAAGCCATTACCCCTTGTCCTATCAGTACAAAGCCTTGTAAAAAATCTCTCTCCAGCTCTCTTGTAGCCCCTTCAGATAATGGAAAAATGCAGTAAGTTCTCCCTGGGGATTTCTCTGGTGTGAACAGCCCCAACTCTCTCAGCCTGAATATCAAAATAAAATTCACTGCTCCTTTACAGGAGAAAGCCAAAATACAGCAGTGATTGTACCACACAAAGAGAAATTGAGTATCTGAAACCATCTCTCCAGAGCCTTACAGTGTCTTACTGCAAAAGGGCAGCTTTCAGTCACAGGCCTGGTATCACAAACAGCACAGAGGAAACATTGATTTCCAGAAAAACTCCTGCCATTTCTACTTGGTGATCTCAACTGAATGCCCAAAGGGAGCAGCAAGATGTCAGTCACAGGGATGTGCTTCATGAAAATGAAACAGCTCTCCCAATATCACACCTAGTGTGCTGGTGACACTCTGCTCTCTCATCATGGCGTTGTCACTCTGGATCATGCCTGTGGGGCACTTGGGGAACATTCATTAATATTCTATTTTCAGAGGTGTGAGTATGAACGTTTCTCATAACTGGCAGCCCTTGCAAAATCATCAGGAAAATAAGAAAGGCCTGGGGGTGTTGGACAAGATGAACTTCAGAGGTCCCTTCCAATCCTAACAATTCTGTGGGATTCTGTGTGAAAAGGGGTTTAATTCCATGGTCTCATGGTAAATTTCTGGGAAGTCCTGTGGGATTTGGAGCCCTGGACTCAGTGTCTGTGTGTGCATTCCTCTGACAAAGCTGTCCATTTGTTCATCTGGACTTCTGTGCCCAGAGCTGGACTCACTGTGCTTGCTAGAGAGGTGGTGAGCACCAGTTTTAAAGGAGCTCTGGATAGATTTGCACTTTGTTTGAACTCCTTGAAGAATCTAGTTTTCCATGTAAGCCTCAGGAAGAGTCTAAAAAGCATGCCCTTAAGCAATAATGAAAAATGCAATCATGATTATGAGTGTAGAGAATGATGTTTCCCTTCTCTTGGCACATTATCATGCATTGAAAAGTTCTTTAGAATAAACTGAAGGATAACCAGAGCAATTAAAGCTGCTTGAATCAGAGACAAAGCATTTCTAAAGCTAAAGAAAATGTTGCCAGGGGAACTGATGCATTAAAAAATTTCCTTCTCAGATTTACACTCCCTCTGACAGCACCAAAGCTGCATCTTCTGTCACAGTGTGATAAACTTTCTTACTTCTTCTTGCCTGAACTCCACGATAAATGTCTTCATCTGCCTGCCCTGAATGATGACATTTTCATTTTTACAGCTACAACTCACTGGTTTCAGTGTTGGAGAGGAGAAATGCACCTGGAAAAGGAGAAGCGTGGAATGTGGTTCCCAAGGAGTGCTGGCAGGAGAGGACTGGAGAACAGCATTCCAGTTGTGCAGATTTATTCAGGCCAAATAAAAAACTGTGAGGATATTTGTGCCAAAAAAAGTGTTTAATCCTGTGGCCTCCTGGGTGTGAAAGTCTGGAAGAAGATTTTGTCCAAAGCTTTCCTCATCAAGGGCCCACAGCAATTCTGCAAAGAGCTGTGGCTTTATAATCAGCAAGAAAAAAAAAAACAGAAAAGAAAAAAAAAGAAATTAAATAAAAAATCAGATGAATTAAATTGGTGCTACAAGGTTTTTTGAAAATTTATCCTGGCCTAGGTTCATGGTAGCATAATTTCACGAATCTTCAAATCAAGGCAAAGATTACCTGACTTCCTTGGAAAGAGACAAAGAATGATTCCTCAGACCAGTGGGAAGAACCTGGTGGGACTGGGCTCAGCTACTTTTGCAGTCTGAACCAGAAAGTCCAGTTCAGCCTTTCAGACTCCTCTGGAGTGAAAATAAGGAGGGAGACAATGAGGGAAAATGCATCTCAATGTTTACAAAGGTGACACAGAGAGGAAATGGCCCAGCCCTGTTATTTCCAGAGCTTTTCCTCCAAGCTTCTGATTAAGGAAAAATGTGACTACACCAACAGACTAATGATAAGATTTAAAAAAACTTGTTAGAGACAGAGAGGGACCTGTGTGTCTCACTTAGACTTCTACAGCTAACAGTAATAAAATCTGTTTTGAATGAGAAACACCTTGCAGAGCACCAGGTATTTTGGAAAATAGGAGAGGAAAAAAACAGAGGCAGAGCTGGAAAAGTTATGGCTTAGCATCCCTTTGGCCTGATTTGCTACTGCAGAGCAGCATCCTGTAGGCAGCAAGATAGAGACAGCTAATTCAGTCCCATGGGCAGGTTTCCTCCTGCTTTTGTCTTTTCTAGGAGCTTCAATTCCCTTGTGCTTCGTGAGAGAAAACAGCATTTATTTCTTTGATAGGGAGCCATTTCTCAAAATCCTTGTAATGGTCCAACCTCCTTTCAAGCCCATCTTCATGAAGAAATGAAGAATCTTATTTCTGTTTCTAGCACTGTCCTCAAATCAGCTTTAATCAGAAAGTGGCTTTTCTCTGCTGTTTTAGTGCTCACACAATCTGATCATATTTTCTTTGACTCAGCTAAATGAGCCAAAATAGAGCATGGGACTGTAGGGCCTGGTGATTTTACAGATGAAGGTGTCTAAATGCTGTTCATTTTCTATCACAGAATGGTTTGGGCTGGAAGGGACCTTAAAGATCATCCAGTTCCAACTCCCCACCATGGCAGGGACACCTTCCACTGTGCCAGGCTGCTCCAAGCCCCAGTGTCCAACCTGGCCTTGGGCACTGCCAGGGATCCAGGGTTGTTGGATTAAGGTTTTTTTATGACTTAGAGATGGGGTAACTGAGAGGCATTTTAAAAACTTTTGTTTTATTTTCAGTCTCATGTGAAGGGTGAGACAATACAGATGGTATAATTTACACTATTACAATCAGAAGTTAACTATTCCTTAATTACAATACATTATCAGCATTTCGTGGCTTATTAGCTTTAGCCACACTATGTTGTAAATGCCTTAAAGCCAATAATTTAAAATTACCCCTTGGGTCCCACTACAATTCATCTTTCATTGTTCTATTTCTTTAAAGTATCCAGTCTTATTTGCAAGGCCATCCTTTGAAACTTGTTTCTAGTTCTATTTATCTCTCAACAATGTCTGTCTTATTCTATGGTATTTTTAAGTCAGTATGTCTTATCTTAAAGTTTGCAAAGATATGCCCACTGTGTGAGCCTTCTGTGCTTGAGAATTTCCTACAAATCGTTTCCCACACAGGGGCACTCACAGCTTCTCGGGCACCCTGTGCCAGGGCCTGCCCACCCTCACAGGGAAGAATTTCTTCCCAATATCCCATCTAAACCAGCTCTTTCACTTTGAAGCCATTCCCACAGTGACAATTTGTCCCATTCTCCTGCAGGGGAAACAGAAATTACATTTGTGGCCCCAATGGCAGTGACAGAAGGTTTCCCTGAGTGAATCCCAGGAGGTCCATTTCCCTCGGAGCTCCGTGTGTGGGATGGTGCAGCAAGCTGTGCAGACATATGTTCCAGCCTCACACACCCCAGAACAAAAATGTGGGGGGCTCCTTAGGAGTTCACTGTGTACACACCATCCTGAAATGGCTTTGGAAGGGCTGGGCGTGGGGGGAAAAAAAGGGTGAAAATCCTCCTACTCACCAGCAGAAGAAAAAGGAAAAATTGGAAAGAAGTGTCTTGGGAAAGTGGAGGGGGAGGCAGGATTGCCTGGTGACTCACAGAGTGACCAGGATGCTTTTCCATTGAAATCAGGCTGGCAAAGTAAGGACCTGGTCTTTTAAACATCATGAGTAGGGGTAACCTTGTGCATGCACACTGGGAACCACATCTTATCCCACTCCATCCTATCCCACTCCATCCTATCCCACTCCATCCTCACCCAAGGTTTTACTCATCCCAACGCCGTGGTTCATTAGGAAGGCCAAAGGAAGGAAGGAGCTGACAAGGCCAGTAATTAATAATTAATAAAATGTCAATGCACGTGCTGGTCTTTTCTAACAAAACTGATTTTGGCTGTTTCATCTCCCTAATTGCTCTTCAGGTAGGCTTAACCTTCTCTGAGGTTCATGCCCATCCCCTCAGTGTAGAGAGGACAATCCCTTCTCAGCAGTGCCAAATGATAGCTTTGTAAAAGTTCTAAAAGCAGCAATTATCCTTTCCAGAGCGTTTTTATGAAGCGTTGTCTTGAATAATTCAAGTTGAAAATTCATTTTAACCTTCTGCACTTCTCCTGCTTGGGCAACCAGAGATGGAATGTGCTCATTAGATGTAATTTATCCCTTTTCTTGCTCCAGCTTTATTCAGACACACCTGTATGGAAGGCATTTCAAGAATATTGTTATTTAAGTCAGTGGAGCAAGAGTGTGAGATTTTAGACTTAAAAAAATGTTTGTAAAGTCAAGGAAATAGTAACAAAAAATTATAACTGGTCAAAAAACCCTCTTCCTGCAGCTTTCATGGCTATTTCTTTTAACAAGTCTGGGCAATACTTTTTCTAATAAAGCACAGTTTTAAAAATTTATTTTCAGAAATTTCTTTTGATTCCCCAAACTGAATGATTCATTTCCCTTTGCTGAACCTGTCCATTTTGAGTCACTGTGGCATTAATTTCTACTTGCTACTGTTACTGTGCTTAGTAGGAAATACAGTTCAGGGAAGTTTTACATCCCTTTTTTACGATTTAAACTCATAATAAAAATCCCTCGACGTGTCACATCAGTTCAACTCACTGACCACAATGGCATAAAATGCAGGATGCAGTTCTTGGAAGAAGACAAAGGGTGTGAGAACATCTCACACGCACAACCCCCTCAGCCTCCTGGGGCCATCAGGAGGAATTTCATCACGGAAAGGGTGATTAACCACTGGAAAGCACTCCCAGGGAGGTGGAGTTGCTGTCCCTGGAGGCGTTTAAGGAAAGACTGGGTGTGGCACTCAGTGCTAGGGTCGGGATGACAAGGTGATGCTTGGTCAAAGGTTGTACTTGATGATCTCAGAGGTCTTTTCCAACCTAACTGATTCTGTGACTCTGTGACGCTCCCCAGTGCTGCCGCAGCCTGATCCATCCCTGCCCTCATCTTGGTTTTACACGCAAAGATTTACCTGAAATGTTTTACACCACAGCTCTTACAGAGCCTTACCTCCAGCCCTGCTGAATCTCCTTCAGCTGCAAACCTGGCTCCTGGATGCTCCTGGCCCTGGCTCAGCCCCTCACCCTGCCCAGGGCTGCTGGTGGACCTCAGCACCCCCAGCTGGGGGTGACAGTGACACTGGCAGGGGCATGGCTGGCACAGGCACTTCTGCTCTCTGCCACGCTGCCTGAGGCGCCTTAACAGTGGGGTGTGCTCCAGCCTCACCACACTCACCTGTGCCATTGCAGCAGGGGACATCAGTGCCAGGCACCATCACACTCACCTGTGCCATTGCAGCAGGGGACATCAGTGCCAGGCACCATCACACTCACCTGTGCCATGGCAGCAGGGGACATCAGTGCCAGGCACCATCACACTCACCTGTGCCATGGCAGCAGGGGACATCAGTGCCAGGCACTGTTCACTCACCTGTGTTATACAACAGGGGAAATTGTCACCACTGCACTCACCTGTGTCATTGTAAAGGGGGGGCATTGGTGCCAGGCACCATTGCTCTCACGTGTGTCAGTATAACGGGGAAATTGGTACCACTGCACACACCTGTGTCATTATAACAGGGGAATTGGCACCATGGCTCTCACCTGTGTCACTGTGACAGGGACATTGGCACCACTGCACTCACCTGTGTCCATCCCAGGGACAATGGTGCTCACCTGTGTCACTGTAACAGAGGACACCCATCCCAGAGACCATCACACTCACCTGTGTCACTGTGACAGGGGAATTGGCCCCATGGCTCTCACCTGTGTCCCTGTGACAGGGACACCCATCCCAGGGACAATGGCGCTCACCTGTGTCACTGAGACAGGGGAAATCGGCACCATGGCGCTCACCCGTGCCACTGTGACAGGCTAAATTGGCACTATGGCACTCACCTGTGTCTCTGTGACAGGAAAAATCGACACCATGGCACTCACCTGTGTCCCTGTGACAGGGGACACCCGTCCCAGCCCATCCCTGTCCCGTGGGTCGCTCCCTGGCCGCCCCAGCCCCGTCCCCGGCCGTGCCGGTCCCGCGGCGCTGCGCCGGCCCCGGGCGAGGCTCCCCGAGTGTCCCCGGCCGTGCCTCACTTCCTCCGGCCCGGTTAAACATTGACGGGCGCAGGGCGGGGGAAGGCAGAGGCCATCCCTGCGTGTCACGGTGCCCGGCACGGCCTGCGGCTGAGGCACAGCTCCGAGCAGCCTCCCCTCCCTCAGGGGCAGCGTCCCCAGCACCTGAGGGACGCTTGCTCGGGACAGCAGTGAGGGCTGGCCCGGGACCCCCGCCGGGATCACCTCCAGCCCCGGATCCCCGCCGGGATCACCTCCAGCCCGGATCACCTCCAGCCTCAGCGCGGGCAGCGGGAGCCGGCGCTGCCGCCTGAGGGAAAGCGGTGGGAGAGCTCTCAGCGCCGGGGATGTGATCCAGGTAAAGCCCTGGGCAGCCTGGATTTGCTTCCCAGCAGACAGAGCCGGGGGATGGAAGATAATTTAGCTGTTTTAGCTCTTTTCCCTGCTCCCTCCTCAGCAGGGAGCTGCCCAGGGGTGGCAGGAGTGGTTTGTGGCTCTGTCTGCTATTCTGCTTCCTGGCATTTGGGGTTGGTGTCTGTCATGGGGTGCTCAAAGCATCTGAGCCCCTCTCTGGGTCCAGCTGCCATTCCTCCAGGGGATAATTATTGTTATTTTCCTTGCCCGTGTCGTGGATGAGGGAGGGAGCAGGCTCAGAGCAGCACTGGCAACCTGAGTCACCCCAGGCACCGGCAGAGGAGGGGAAAAGCAGCCCAAAACAAACCCAGGCATTTAATTCATCGTCAGCCAAAATATCCTGTTTCATCTGGGGATCAGATAATATTTCCCAGCCCTTTGAAAGGCCATTTTGAAACAAAGTAAAACAAAATATTATAGATCCCTCCCTTTCCTGCCTTGCTCTACTTCACCCTAAGCTGTATACTGATTTTTGTCCTGGATTTGGCACAATGTTCTTGCCAGTTTATTCTTCACCATGTAAAGCTTTGCCCAGCTCAGATTGTTTTGGTGGAGCTGGATTTGTCAGGGCGGGTATGAAGGCTGCTGTTCTGCTTGGAAATGCTGCTTGGTGTCACAGCTTCCTGGAAAAGGACCCAGCCCTGTGTTTTGGATTTGTTTCCTGGTGCTTTATTCGGGCTGTTTCACTTGGTATGACAGATGATACCAGCTCCTGTGCTCCTGAGTGTGTGTGACAGCCAAGTGACAGATTTCACAGTGACAGAGCACAGAGAAATCCCTCCAGGCTGTGCACAGTGACCCTCCCTCCCCACCTGCCTGCTGGGGACTCCTCCACACATAAAATATGGAGATAAAAAGACCCAAAAACCTTTCAAAATGCACTAGGAAAACCCGAACCAGCCTTTGAACAAACAGGTGAAGAAATCAGCCCACAGGCTTGTCTGAAAACATTGATAAATTGACAGGGCTGTCCTGTAGGTTCCCAAGGCAAACTGAAAGCTTGAAAAACAGGAAAATGGGGATGAAAATGCCAGCTGAGCCTGCCAGATTCCAGGCAGGGAACGGAGCTCTGGTACCTCCTGGTGCTGCAGGAAACCCAGGGTGTCTCTGTGGTGACACTTAATTGTCATGCACTGCACAGTGCTGCCACAAAGAGCACCCCTGCAGTCAGAAACACTTTCCTGACAAGAAATTTGGTCTGGCCACAAAACCACATCCTCTGGTCTGGGTCCCTTTCACAAAAGCAAGCTTCAGTGGCCCTGATGAGGAATTTGAAAACCAAGCACAGTAAAAGCCTCTCCCACATATTTTGAGTGGGAGGAGGATAATATCTCACAAGTGAATCACAAACACTGAAAAAGCAGAAAATATGGGTGTAAGGTGGAGTCTCACACCCAGAATTTGTGTATTATTTCTGACCATGGTGGAGAGCTGCAGGTGGTAAAGGAGGCACTCTCAGGTTCTGAAGAGAAACTCTGGGGACCTTTTTTTCACTCTCAGCCTTTCTGAGGGCTCAGTCTGGGCAGCTGGGAGGAGATTTGATGTTTCTCATCCTCACAAGTGCAGCAGCTCAGAGAATTCCTTTTCCCATTTGCTCAGGAGTAACTTTAATGGTGCAGCTGGAGCTGCCCTGGCCCTGTCAGTGCTGAAGCAGGAGTGTTGTAACAGCCAGGAGGGGCTGAGGAATGGGAGATCTGCAGGAGGAGGTTTCTCTGCTGAAGAAAAGGTCCTCTGTGTCTTTTAAAACAATTATTTGAGGAAAGGTTCCGCTCTGCTTCCAAACCCTCCCTCATTTAATCTTTTCCCCTTGTTGGTGGTACAGGTCACACAAAGTCACCCTTGCCACAGGACCCAAAGCTGTGGCTCATTCCCAGGTTTCTCCAGGAGTTCTGTCCTTCAGCTTCTTCTCAAGCATGCAGTGACCACTGGTGGCTTCCTGCCTCAGGGACCAGGAGAGAATGCTCCAATGGAGAGCTTCCAGAAATGCATTTTGCTTCCCCTCATCCTGACTGCCTCACTGCCAGGTAGGACACGTTCAAACCCATGAGATGAACCACCATGGACAAAATGTGGGCACTCATTTCAGGGTGGTGAAAGTGGCCTTTGCTGGTGAGCTCAGACTGAGCACTCAGCCACAGAGTGGGATTGTTTCAACTGTTTAAAAGATGTTTGTATTTCAAGCCTGAACAATCTGATGATTTAAAGTGTGTTTGAGTGTGAAGGATTGAACAGTGTGTGGGGTGGGGAGGAGGTGGCAGGGCTGCCTTCTTTCAGTTTTTCCCTCTCCTTGTTTTTCTCTTCCTCCTGTTTGGGACTGCTTTTGAGGGTGCATCTGTAGAAAACTCAGTATCAGCAGCTGGTTTTTACTTCCAGAAGTAAATGCAAATTATCATGTTGCTGGTTCACCACCAATTCACACTTCACATGCCTGAGTCTCAAAGTCAATTGAGATTAAAAGTGTCTTGGTGGCAAAAAAGTGAGTATTAAGTGACTAGTTGGGTAATGGAGACAAGGCAGATTTTTTTTTAAATTAAAGTCTAGCTAGAGTTTTAACAGGCTCTGACAGGAACAAGCTGCAGAGGGATGAGGGGAAAGGTGTTGTCATGGATTAATAGTGAAAGGGAACACAGTGCAGGAATAAACATTGAGTTTTCTGAGCACTGGAGCTGCACAGGGATGTGTGGTATTCAACAAGCTCTTAAACAACCTGGTGAAGAGGAGGGAGCTGTGAGGTGGCAGACTCTGCAAGCAGTGCAGAAATTACTTAGGGCAGCCAAATCCAAAAAGAGACTAGGAAGATTTGCCAGAAATTGTCATGGTGTCAGATGAGTGAGAAAGAAAGGCAGAGAAAGCATTCAATGCAAAGCATCTCTTATATGCAGTGTCTAGTGGAGAAAAGAATAGATGTCTTGGAAAGAGAGTAAATTGCTGAAAAAGTGAGAAAATTTCACCACTTAATGTCTTCAGCAAAGGCAGATAAAATGAAACCTGGCATGATGTAAATCCACAGAAAGATTTCATCTCAGATATTGGCTGTTTTGTTAACCCTTCCATCACAAACAGGACAGGTTAGGTCTGAGAAAACGACAAAGTGGCCGGGAGCTGTTCTAAGGTAGAGAATCAAAGAATCATAGGAGGGTTTGGGTTGGAAAGGAACTTAAAAATCTTCCAGTTCCAACGTCCCTGCCCATGGGCAGGGACACTTTTCATTGGAGCAGGTTCCTCGATGCTCCATCCAACCCTGAACACTTCCAGGATGGGGCATCCAAAGCCCCGCTTGTCTAGGAGGGAAGGATGAGGAGGCTTCATTAGACTGGGATATCCCTTCCCTACTTGTGAAGAAGAATAAATGGTAAAAATGTATTAAAATGATTAATTCTATGGAAGTGAATGGTGAAATGATTATTCACAATTTCTCATGACAAAAAAGAAATTCTTGTAACCACTAAAAGTATCAGATTTAAGGCTAACCAAAGCCTGTTCTTTTCTCAGAGTATGCAATTAAATAGTAAAGCTTTGGGGGATATCAAATTACAAACAGGCTGGAAAAAAACTAGAAACAAATATCATAAAGGGTAGATCCATAGGTGCAGAAGCAATTTTTGGCTCAGGAAATCCCTGGTTCTCTTTTTTTTGGGCACTGGGAAGTCCTACCAGGCACTGCTGTCAACCAGTGAGTGAGAGGAGAGAGGAAGACACGCCTGGGGGCTGTGGAGAGGTTTGTGTGCAGGTGGGAGGAAATAAGAGTTGCTGAGCATCAGGAGTCTGGTATTACTTGACAGAAACATCCTGTAAGCATTTAAAAATTCTTGTTAACACAAGAGAACAAGCCAGTCCCTCACTGCAGGCTTTGACAAGCTCCAGCCTACTTTGGTTTTCAAAAAGCTCAGCTGCAGGGCTGTTGGGTTTTGAGACAAACTTGAGCTGCTTATTTATTTATTTATTGTTGTGTATTTAGCAGGTGATAGCAGAGCTGTGGCTGGAGCAGTGGGACAGTGGTGGGGAAGGGGAGGTAGAAGGCAAGGGGTGAGCAGGAGACTGAAGAAAAAGTGAAGAGAAAAAGGAATTTCAAAGAGACTGAAGGAAGGGAAAAAGATGTAGAAATTCAAATAGAAAGGGCAGAGAGGGAAGGGAGAAAGACAGATATTAGTTACAAAAACTGAAGGATGAAAAGCAGTGTTTGTGGAAGGGCAATATGGGTAGAGAGGGGGAGATTATGTTGAAATACGATAATGAGGCTGAAAAAAAAAGAGGAATCATTATGGCAAAAGGATAAGCCCATCCTGTCCTTCCCTGTGCTGCATCCAAATAGGTCACCTACAAAAGAGGAAAGACAGAGCCAGCAGAGGACAGGAGACAAGGAAGAGAAGGTAGCCATGTCTCAATGCCCTTGTTGTTGAAAACTGCAGCATGGAAGAGTGGTTCTTTGGGGTTTATTCAAGTGTGGAAGAAAAAACATTGTTGATGAAGGGCAAGGGTGGTTCTTTGGCACATGAGGTTCCCTCAGTGCAGGCATCATCCTGCACAAGATGCATTTTCATTTCTTCACAACCTGCAGTGGTGTGACTGAATTTGTGT